TGTGCCGGACATTGGTATAATGGCAGCTACCCCCACTTTTCCTCAGCTCCTAAGAGTTCCATCCCCAGGCCCCAAATCGCCCACAGTCTCTATCTCGCCTCCTCCGTCCTTCGATGGATCACAAAATGACAGACTATTCACAAACAGCACGTCGCGTTGGAATGACGATTTGTTGGCACCACCCGGGAATGAATCTCCAGCAGCATCACCCCGGCATCCACGTTCACCAAACTTAGGCCCTGTAAGTTCACAGGCAAACTCTACTAGATCACGAACAGTACAACGACCTCAGCTTCAAATCCCAAGTTCATCAAGAGATAGCTCGCGAAACCGGACACAGTCGCCAATATTACCATTTCCTATTTACACGGACTCTCCACTCTTGTTGTCAGGGAATAGTTCCAAGGCTCCCAGTATCCTGCTGCCAGATTCTGAAATCACACCCGAGTCGGTTAATTTGGAGCACGAGTTGCACTGTCCGGAAAGGCCAATAAGATGGTGGCCATATCGCATATTACCCAGCCCACAAATCGTACTTACAGCTCTATTTCCTACACTATGCACGTGGAGAGATAAGAGCCGATGGGATAAGTTTATCAGCGTCATTTCGGCCCCTAGCATCTTTCTTTTGGCAATCACATTGCCAGTGGTTGAGTCAGAATCTAAAGACCAGGAAGAGACAAGCTTCATTGACCAAAGGAGGGAATCAGGCACATCGAGGAGAAACACCGGCCCATTACTGATCCCAGATAGTCCATCATTCATTTCAGAAGCAGGATCCGAATGGGTAGAATACCAACGGAGTCGACGGAACACACAGACTGATGATTGTCCTCGGTCCCCTATTTCAGATTTTGGTCAACACAACACCGCGGCGGTAGCCATCTCTGCTGAGCGCCATCACATTCATTCGCATCAAATTCCCATGTCACCCACCAAAAATATAGGTCCGTCTCACGAGGATGCGATTCATAGCGGACCCGGGGTAGAACATTCTAGAGACTGGAACCGCTGGCTTGTCGCGCTTCAATTGTTTACAGCTCCTCTTTTTGTGGTATTCATATTTTGGGCCAACACTGACGATGGTGACTCGAGGTCGCTCATACGTCTACTTTTGTATTCCATTCTCGGGTCTCTGGTGGCATTTGCCATTCTCGTATTAACGACGACACATTCGAGGCCCCCTAAACATCGATTCGTGCTTTGTTTCCTCGGTTTCGTCGTTGCCATTGCTTGGATTTCCACCATTGCCAACGAAGTTGTCGGAGTTCTCAAAGCATTTGGTGTCATTTTAGGTATCTCCGATGCAATCCTTGGCCTTACTATCTTCGCCGTTGGCAATTCATTAGGAGACCTCGTCGCCGATATCACAGTTGCCAGATTGGGATATCCTGTTATGGCATTGAGTGCTTGCTTTGGGGGGCCGATGCTAAATATTCTCATTGGCATTGGTGTTAGTGGCGCATACATGACAATTAAAGAGGCCAACCACAAACATCACAAGCATCCGAACAAAGATATCAAATATAAGCCATACGAGATTGAAGTCAGTGGCACACTAATGGTCAGCGCCATCACTTTGCTGATTACATTAGTCGGGCTTCTCATTGCAGTACCGATGAACAAATGGGTAATGAGTAGGAAAATTGGATGGGGTTTGATTATTCTCTGGTCCATCAGTACAATGATTAATCTTGCCGTGGAGGTTAGTGGCGTTTGGGGTGATAATCTGGACCTGTCTACCTTCTTTTCATAAAATTGAGGATATTTTTGATGTAGATGATGAATTATGTTTAATAGTAGAAAGGGAAGGGGGTAGAGTTGTACTATACCCAGAATATATAGGTTGCTTTTTTGGTATGATTCTCAATGGCTATGTTATTTCCAGCATCAATACTTTGTTCAAGATACGAAGACAAGTATTCTCAATCCTAGTATTCGAGAATGGTGATTCGTATCAGTCTCGCCTTTCTATGACTAGGTAGTATAGCATTGTATTGTATGGTATTCTTCAAGGGAAACTGATTCGTATTTTGAATAATAAAGCTTTCTCTGTTGAACCAATTGGCTATTATCAACAAGAGCCTTTTCTCTTTGACCAATGGAGTCTCCCCTCAAGTGTCACCTATGTAGTTGGTATAAAAGGCAATCGCCATCTATCAGACAGCCTTTGGACTACAATAACCTTTGTAGATTTTAATATTTGATTGATTTCTTTCATATACATGAGCGGCCACTACCTATGTATGTATTTAGATAAACGATTGAGTCCATAATAAATACCTGGGTACTCTTTTGAACATCAGACCTCAATTGCAGCAGTTTTACTTTTACCCATCACTCGAAAATCTAGACCAAATCCGATATTGGCCTTGTATTTAAGGCACGCATGCCAACTTTCCGAAACTTAACCGGCTCGAAGCACTAATAAACTCCCGCCCCGCTACAGCACATCAGACAAGACAAGACAACAAAAGCTCCCTCCAACCCTGAATTAGGATAACCAGCAGGATACCTACGTAACCTTAACAATTATTCTACCCCTCATCTCATCTTTTTTTCGAAATCATCCAAGATCACTCTTGTGAGGCGCCATTGCTTGCGACAATCTATTAAGGCCCAACACTTTCTTATTAAGACTACAGTATCTTCTAGCCCTCGAGTTAACTTCGCTGGCTATCGCGATAATGAGCACCATGCTCCCGGGGACACACGTCTTCTCTCATCAACATCAATATAATCCGCAGGTCGACCAACCATGGATGCACCAGCAGACCCACCTTCAACAGGCGCAGCAGCAGCATGCAGCGGCGGTTCAAGCAGCTCATTATAATCGCATGGCGGGTCAAAATCAAAACCACAACGCCGCTGTACCTTCCATTTCTTCAAATCACGGACAAGACGCAGCAGCCATGATCGACTCCAATGTTTCAGAAGAAAATAGAAGGACTTTGAACTTCATTGCAGATTTACTTAATGAAGACACCAGGGAAGCTGCTCTCCTGGAACTCAGCAAGAAGCGCGAACAAGTGCCAGAGCTTGCATTGATACTGTGGCATTCTTTTGGTAAATTTACGCCTTCGGAAGGGGTAGCTTTATGACATGCTGACAGATCTAGGTGTGATGACATCACTTCTTCAAGAGATAATCTCAGTCTATACTCTTCTCAATCCCTCCCAACTCACCGCCGCCGCATCAAATCGAGTCTGCAACGCCTTGGCCCTTCTACAATGCGTAGCTTCTCACAATGAGACTCGCGCCCTTTTCTTGAACGGTTGGTTATCCAGACATCATTGATATGACGCAGAACTGACATTAGTAGCTCACATCCCGCTTTTCCTCTACCCTTTCCTCAACACGACTTCCAAATCCCGACCTTTCGAGTATTTACGTCTTACCTCCCTTGGAGTCATCGGGGCCCTTGTCAAGAACGATTCATCCGATGTCATCAATTTCCTCCTCACTACTGAAATAATTCCATTATGTCTTCGAATCATGGAGACCGGGTCAGAACTTAGTAAGACAGTTGCAATCTTCATTGTGCAGAAGATCCTTCTCGATGATCACGGTCTTAATTATATTTGTGCTACCTATGAGCGATTTTATGCTGTTGGCACAGTACTCAGCAATATGGTTTCACAACTTGTTGAACAACAAACTGCGCGATTGTTGAAGCATGTCGTCCGCTGCTTCCTTCGGTGAGAATACATCCGAGATTTTGATTTCGATTCCGCTAATATGAATGTCAGATTGAGTGATAATGCGCGAGCCCGCGAAGCCCTCCGCCAATGTCTCCCCGAACCTCTTCGCGATGCCACTTTCTCCTCGGTCCTTCGTGATGACGCTGCTACCAAACGATGCCTTGCACAACTCCTCATCAATTTATCCGACAATGTTGTTGAATCTTCATCGGGTCACCAAGGTCTCTAATATCCACTTTCTAATTCCACTTTCAATGTACAATTATAAAAGCACCGATACGACGCAAACGAGCATGGGGGATTTCATCTTCGGTTTTGCATAGACATCACGATACCCGGTCTTTCTTTTCGGAAATGTCGTAGGTCTTTGCAGCTGGTCATCACAGGTTTCATAAAAGCATTGCGGGTCAAATGGGGTTGGTCTGAAGGGTGTATTGCGCGGCTTGGTTCAATGAAGAAGGTAGGAGTTGGCAGTTACTGCTCCTCAAGCGCACCAGTCTGGCGAGGGCTTCAAACTTACACCTCCACTCAAGGTGGATGGTTATTTCTTTCATTATTTACATTGATTGGTGTTTATTACTGTATTTGGTTGTTTTGAGGGCGTTGGGGATATCTTACATGCTGCGCTATAATATAATGCTGCTAGGGAAATGGGTTGTAAAGTAGGCAAAAACTTCAGCGTTCAGGAATAGAGATATACATTCTTGATATTAGCATTGAGCATTGAGATAGCTTATCAACATTGTGAATATGAATAATGAAAGTAAAGCGGGGACGGCACAATGTTACAATCTAGAAGTCGAGGGTCTGAAAGTCTGAGGGTCGGTCTGAGAGTCTGATGAGGGTTATTATTCGGTCTGACAGATCACAGATTTGACAGACCCTATGACTCTACTACACTACACTGCATCTGGGTCTCGCACAAACCTTGATCGATTTTCGGACTTGCGGATTTGATATAATATGCCGGTACCGGGTTACGTTTATTGGGACTTGTTGGGGATGTTCAATGGCGGATACAGCACTTAGTAATAGTTATCAATACACGCCATTCTACCAGCCTACCTTGCAATAAATATTCTAGATGCGGGATGAGATGTACCTGGCGAGCCTGGCTCGCCCGGGTGCCCACTGCCCAGTCTCTTGTGCCGAGTCTTGAGCCAGTGAGCCAGTGGACGAGCGAGTGTACGAAGCTGAATCATCATCAATCATCATCATCATCAATCATCATCATCATCAATGCGTACCTAGCATGGTGATCTATCACACAATATCAATGTGTCTCATTCCGAAGATTCCCCAGAATGAACAGGATGAATAGTAATCAAACCTCGGATTTTTTTGATTCTCCTTCCCCTTGACCACACATCCACCCACAACCCAACAATTCTGGGGACAGATGGATGATACTTGAATGAAAACGTCACAGATCGGTACATCTATCTGCAACAAAGGAACCACAGCCACCGTCAAGCAGGTGGTGCATCGTATATTGATTATTAATCCCTAACTTTAAATCTGTTGATGGTTTTAGTTCTTACTTTGCTCACCAGAGCTACCCAATTACCAAGCATCAAATTCCGTGTACCCAGGATATCGTACGGATTTACCTGGACCCTACCGGCTAGACTCAACTCTACTTGCATCACCTTCCCTTCCATCTCAAAAGGTTGAGCGGGCAGAGGAAGAAAAGAGAGACGGTACAGTCAATCGGCTGAAGAAGAAAAGCTGATAAACCTTGTCTTCAGCCTTCTTGCATACCCACCCTACCTGGCATATACATAGAAAAGAGAAAAAAACAGAGAAAATCAATCTGATGACTGGAGTAGAAAGATTATGCTACTGTCGGCGTTAATGTGAATTGTTACTCAACCAATACTTCATCCACAAATCATTCCACGGCTGACAAGGACGATAAGAGAAGACAAGACAAACTACTCACCGGTCGATATAAGGCGTGGCCGGTCATATTATCGCCGTCTCCAATAAGTGTGTGCTTGACTTGTCTATAAAGCCGATCTGGTCCCACCCCCGCATTCAAATTGGTCGAAGATGAATTCTTCTTATGTCAGTCTTCCCATGCAGCAGGACGATCGATATGCTTTGACAATTCTTACTGAAGCCGCTATGCAAACCGATACTCAAGCTAACTACAATCCTTCATCCAATAATTTCAATACAATGTCAAACGCCACCGGCAATGTCTTTCTGAGTAGTAATCTAGCTAAAAACAATTGTGTCTCGACCGTCCAAGACACCGTTTACCATTCACGTGCACCGCCTATCTCGACATCGATTTCTTCATCCGAGATCAGTAATCGTCCTACCAATACATCGCAATATCGTTTTCCACCTTCAATATCCAACCTTCTCGGGGACCACACAAGACCTCACCAAAATATGCAGACACTTGCTTTCAATTCCACAGAACGAACCTCACAAGATACCTTTATGAACCATCCATTCCAATCAATCTATTCCAATAGTCTAGGAATTTTGAACGCGGAGAAGTACGATGATGGGAGGGGTTCCATCGGATCTCATAATCCTAATATGATGAATATGAAGGGTCAGATGCAAAATCAAATACCATTTGGAGTGGTGGAGAAGCATGGAGATAGCAGTGATACAAAACCACAAAGTGAAGAGAATGAGCATGGACAAGGGAAGAAGCGAAGGAAGAGAGTCAGAAACGAGTCTCCAAATCTTGATGACGATGATGATGATGAAGCTCGAAAAAAGGCGAGAGGGAGACCAAGAGTAGATACTAAAGATGAAACTGCTGCTGATGTAAGTTTCCTCCGTCTGGGTGCAATATGTCTGTTCTAGAGGCAAAACATTTTTAGCTTGCCAAGTTAGATTATCTGATCTAGGATATCAACTCTATATGTTCTCCAATGCATGTTGGAATTCATCACATTGCTAATGATTACCCAGAGGCGAAGAACTCAGATTCGAATGGCCCAGAGGGCCTATCGACATCGCAAAGAGACAATAATTTCTTCTTTAGAGAGGCAAGTCCAGGAACTTAAAGGTACAAATGAAGAAATGAATAATATATTCATTAACCTCTATGACTTTGCCATCAGTAGAGGTCTTCTACAACGCGAGCCGGAGTTTGGTCAACAACTTCAATCAACTACGCAAAGATTCCTTGCACTCGCAAAACAAAGTGCAGGCGATGAAAATCCAAGGCATAGAGATGACTCGCCAGATAATACCACACATGAATCTCATGGTGAGGCCAAACATTCTTTGACAAGTCAGAACACTCAACACCCGCCTCCCCTTATTCTGCTCTCAGATGAGCCGACTACTACCGAGACGATAAACCCGTGGGGCGGATACACTGTAACGAAGGATAATAGTTCCGAAGAAGAAGAAACGCAGATCGAATTTAATCAAAACGACACAGAAGAACCTAGACAATATGAGATAATCAGCAGGGCAACTGAAGATAACGCGAGTTTTCCTTACGACTGGACGAGCATTCAACAATACCGAGTCGAGATACATTCTCCTACCAGTAACTATTTCTTCCAAAGCTTTTACCCTCACGCCGAAGTCCCGCTTCCAACTACACATTCCTACTTTGAACTTTCATTTGCACGTAGAGTGCACCGCGCAACGATGGAACAAGGCTACAAGTTACTCACAATGCCAAATCCTCCACAACAACAATTCGAAAAGGCATTTGGCTATTGCTTGAAATATGAAACCAAGGAAGAATGCATCGCGCGATTTCAAAGGGTTCTGAATACTTCATCAAAGGATTCTCTTCAGAATTGGCGCTATCCATTAGTTCACCCTGGAGGATCGGGTACATACTATCCCAATCAAGACTCTGATACTGATAATGAGTTGATGCCCAAATTCCGTACCGGATTCTCTATGGGCCCCTTTCCCACAGCCTTCACACCATTACTAGAAAACATCAGTTCTGATATGAAATGTACCCTTCCTGGGTTTGAAGGCGAGTTTTTTGATCCTAATGACGTTGAAGGTTATCTCAGAGGTCATGGATTCGATCTTCATCCAGGTGCCGACTATATCACAGGTCAAATAGAACTTGAGGTTTCTTCCGATGCCCACAGTCCAGGGACTGCTAGTACTGACTCGATATTCCCACCTACACCTCGGAGTCTAGTTGGCAAAGCCCTTGATGAAACCAATAAAAATGCGTATAATCTCGATTATATCAATGGTAACCTAAATAAAGAAGCTCAAGCTAGTGGTATTTCCCAGTTTCTGACATTTCCATCATGGAATGCTAGTATCCCCAGAGGGGCTAATCCTCTTGATTTATCCGGTCCAATATTTGATGGTACAGCCGGTCCCAATTCTGAAACTTCGAGTCCCAAAGTTAGTACCAATAGTAAACGCTATACGGAGAAACGTACTGTGACTATTAAAGTCGAAACCCTGATCAGAGGTATGTTGTTTACACGTTGATATTAGGATCATAGCTGATTATCAATTTTCAGAATTGATTGGTGTTGCATGCTGCTTGGGACGTGCCCCTGGATACAGACGAGCCGATATGGATGCTGCGATCATAAATGCAGCAAGAGAAACTGGGTTTGAATGAACTCGCGAGCACGTTTAATGATTTCTCTCCACAATTTCTGGGCCGCTATTTTCGTACCTGCTCAAATGTCAGCACTCAACGCAATGCTGGCTAATTTTAAAAAGCACTTCATGGCGCCTGCCAATTTCTTCTGGATTTTAATTGTCCATATGATCTGGGAGATTGGATAGACCGATATTTACCTGCACTCTTGAGACAACATCTTAATTTTCTGAAAATTGCTGTATACATATTTATAAGCATTCATCGCTATCCACCACCTTGTTCGCACGATTGTCAACATCCCTTATTCACTTACGACGAACATTCCCAGTTCAAAATGGCCTATCAGAGTCAGTAGATTCTCGTTCATCATGAATCAAGGGCTCAATAGTATGTATACTGATTTTTTATAGGACCTTTTGAAGGGGCTGACAAAGCAATTCCGGATGCGTATCGAAAGGTAGACGAGCCTACTAACACCAGAAAGGACCAAAAGGCGGAAAACACGGGCATTAGAGTCGAGAAATTTACTATTATCCCAGGTCATTTTGGTGCCTATGTCCATGCGCCAATTTCCCCGGTGCTTCCTCCTCGGTCTACCATGTTTGAATGGCATAAAGAACGTCGAAGAACACCTGCAACCATTGAGAAGGTGTTAATCGAAGAACTCCAGAAGATGCGCAGTAAGATAATCCGTTTACAACAAATCTATTCCAACAATTGAAGCATCTCAAAGATTCTGAGCCCCTTGATTGCTGGAAAACAGTCTTGACTCTTGAAAGCGAGATCGCTTTCAACGGATGCGACTGACTATATACAGTCGCCAAAGTTCTTGAAGCCCCCAAGAGATCTGCGTTTAATTCTCAACCATCAATTTTAAATGGGCGATTACAACAAAAGTTTCCAGCACAGAAACTCCACGCGATATCTGAGATGGATAGAAAATCATTCGATATCAGATGGGCTGGCTACATTTGGGCCGCCGATGCGGAGAAATTATAAAAGGTAGAAGCGGTCCGTGCTGATATTGCAGGGTGGGAATTGAAAGCGCCTTCATCTGCGAACCTTGAATAGAGACCCAAAAAACATGAGATGGGAGATAAGCAGTCTTCGGAAGATCTTCTGTTGACACACTCGGAATCTTCGGTGGGGTATGAAGATTGGTACTCTAGTTTTGGAACTGCAAGTTCGGAGGAGGATGCTGGTGGTCATTAGATTATGCTTGGATGCGGGAAGGGAAAGGGAAAGGGAAAGGAAAGGGAAAGGGAAAGGGAAAGGGAAAGGGAAAGGGAAAGGGAAAGGGAAAGGGAAAGGGAAAGGGAAAAGGGAAAGGGAAAGGGAAAGGGAAAGGGAAAGGGAAGGGAAAGGGAAAGGGAAAGGGAAAGGGAAAGGGAAAGGAAAGGGAAAGGGAAAGGGAAAGGGAAAGGGAAAGGGAAGGGAAAGGGAAAGGGAAAGGGAAAGGGGGGAAGGGTAATGTATTACTTTTGTCTCTGAAAGGGGAAAATATGGAAAAGATGGGAGATGGGAGATGGGTGGGAAGAGTAAGATAGAAATTCAGCATAGCGAATGTGAAATTAGCGAATTTTATTAAAGGGGCTAGGGGTTTGAATATTGGTTTCTTCAAGTTCTTTAGCGTGCGTGCTTTATGATATACGATACTTCTTATGATTTTTATTTACGCGGCGTGTTTTATCGTATTACATACTCAATCACTTGCGTCGAGCTGTACTTTTGTAGTTATAGGAATTGCAGGAATTGCATGAATTGCAGGTTCAATTTATAATGTTAATAGGGAACGTGATGTAATGAATGGATTGATGAGTTTGAGTTGTGGGGTATGGATGTAAGTGTGAATATATGTGAACATGAGTGTGAAGTTGTCAGTGGAGTGAGGTATAAGATCTAATTGAGTTTTCAATTTTTGATTTTTTGTATTGATATCGATATGGATGTCTCATTTAAATAAGATGAGGATGGGGATGGGGATGGGGATGGGATGAGGATGCTTGATTGGCCGAGGCTTTTGAGTGGATTGTAGAGCTAAGAATGTGAAGGGAGAAGAGGGAAGGGGGAGGGGGAAATGGATATTTAGATTGTTAGGCAAGAGATGTACGAGGTGGAGAGGGATTATGAGTCGGGAGTTTGTAGGATAAGGAGGCGGGGTGTTGGGCATAGAGGTAAAATGGGGACGAAATGAGTTTCTAGTCGGGATGATTTTTCTGTTATTATTTGGGAGGGAAGGAGGGGCGAAACAATATATTTATTGCGCTGTCCACACTGCTTCCTAACGGGATACTGAAAAGTAACATAAGATTTTGACTTTCGAGAGACGCTTCATTGTCAAGTTGATTATGGGATATTGGAAAGTGTTGTCGCAAGATTTGATCCGGTTTCGAAAGCTCCTTCTGTATCTTAATGTTGTTCTTTCCCCTTTTCGTTTATTTATGGCAAAAACAAAATGAAGACCTGTAAAAAAGTCCCTCCTTTATCAAAACATCATATTTCAGCAGCATCCTCGATTAATCAAGCATTCACCTCGATCTTGAGAAACTCATAAATATGTCATTCAGGAATAAATTAGAAAAATGTGCTTCAGAGCCACTCCTGCCACTAGAAGACTTAAAGGCATTCAAGACAGCAATTGGGTTTCTCGATTTGATGGCTGAGCACGAGAATGAGAATTTGTCTTATCAAATGCTTGATAAGGACGGGAAAATTTTTAAAAGAACACCATCCTCGGTAGAGCCAGAGATTAGGAAACTCGAGAGCTATTTGGCAACTCTCGATTCCAGTTTTCCAAGATATTGGGCAGTCAAGTTGCAACTTACATACCTTGGACACAAGGATAGATGTGAGATGGTTTGTAAACAACGCGATTCTTTGGAAGGAAATGCCAAAATACTAGGCTTGGAGGCGGTTTATGATACCCTCTTGGATGAGTGGTCCAAGAATTGGAAAGCCATTGAAGAGAGACTCGATGCAATTGCGAGAAGAAACCCGTAAACATAAGTTTTATAGACTGGCTTTTCGAATAATTGCCAACAACGAAAGACCAGAAGATGCGATGTTCACAGAGAGATTGAAGGACCTTCATCAAATTCGCAGAGTATCAAAAGATCATCTCAATATCGATGGCTCAAGTTTCAAATATGGCGATGTTGATCTCGAAGAAGTTAAGTGTATGGCCACGAAAAAATGGGGATCGGAAATTTGTCGGAAAGCCGTTCATATTGGTCCATCACGAGTAAGCACGGCCGAAATGACTTTGATGTTTGGCGTCAAATGGGCTTCTAATTCTGCGTTGGGAACATACGATCCCAAGAATGGTTTAGTTTTCGAAAAACAAATTGCAGACGCTTGGGAGGCATGTCAAATCTGTATTGTACCACTTGTCAACACGAACCTTGAGTTCACAACATGGGAATTTCGGATAATGGACTCGAACCTGTTCAAATGCAAACATCTGGAGCTCAATTGTTTGTTTGAAGACATTCATGGACGTCAGTTGAAAGATAGATCTATTCCGCGAATAGACTGCCTACAGTTCCACTGGTTTCTTTGTCTGGCTATATCAAAAAGGAAGAAATCTGATCAGCAGAGAATTGAAGCGGAATTGATTTATGGCACGCGAGCTTGGTCGGTAATAGATTCGTCGCGTCAAGTGAAAGGAGCATTGATCTCACTCCTAAGTAAAGCTGTTGGTCGTGAACTTCCTCTTGGTCTAACGACTTGGAACAACTATGACATTAAGCTTTCAGATTATGCAGAAATTGAAGGATTGATGTCAAGAATCTGCGATGTGCCGGATGCGACACCGGAATTAGAAGAAGGGGGGAGCGGGCATTAGTGGTTATTAGTATATTAAATGTCAGAACTGAAGAGGAACGTTCATTACAAAGAATTAAATAGTATAATTCCAGCACGATTTAATCAAGCACGGCGTTTTTACAGTCTTCGTGATCAGTGGACCAAGTGTTCAAAATCTGGTTCAATGATACTCCGCATTATCAAACACATTATCCAGGTCCTACTTGTAGACGTTTTTCGTTCAAGTAAACAATTAGGTATCAACTTGCATGTATATCTCAACCGCTCTTATTACGAAGAGCGCTATTGAAGTGGTAGTCCGTGGAATTCTTTCTCGCCTGGATTCGTCGGAAGGATCATTCTGGATGTGGTGGGGAATTTTTTTGAAACCCCTGAGTTCTCGCTAATCATTTAGTCTAGACTAGCCCGAGACTCCACAATTTTAAAAGGATGGAATTTTTAATGTGCAATTACGAATGAGAATGAAATTCAATGAATGTATGGGTCAATTGAATTACGACCAACGCGACTCGAGAAATTGGCTGATAGTAAATGCAGTGTTTTCAACAGTCTAAACTGCAGTCTAATTTGAGATTTTAGTTCTTAAGACCCTGAAGATATTATTATCGATTTCATAAATCAATTGTTCCGAATCAATTTGATAATTAAAACTTATTCAATATTTAAGATAGATTCAATACTCGAAAGGGATTTACAATTCCAAAGTTCTTGATTGTCGGACTGCAATCCGGACTATTGGATATCCTGGGAAAATGGAATGGATGAGAATTATGAACTCAGATACTGCAGAAGGAAAAGAGTGCTCGTATATAACGCTGTACCGAACACTTCCCAGCTCAGAATTGGAAGCCTTTTAAAAAGCCGAACTCCGCTGCTCAATAGTCTACTCTTGAAGAAAGGGTAGACTAAAACATCCCCCATGCTTTGCTGACATGTGCTCGTAGCACAGCTCTGAGTGTTCAAATGGCTCCAAACACACCCAGCAAAGGTGTGCACCACACTTACACTCAATGTGGTTACACCCTTCCGTCTTCTCAATAGATGTCTTGCACTTGGGACAACTCTTGATCCCGATCTTTTCCATCATTTTGAGTGTAGCTTCGTATTTTCCAGAAGTTTCATATTCATACTCCGCGCACGTTTTGTTGTCGTGCTGATGGTGACAATATGTACATATTACCGTGCAGCACTCCGCGCAGGTATTGAAATGCATGGTATTTGTGACTCGGTAGATGGTATCGCAATTTGGTTTTGGACAATAACGGAATGTCTGTGGATTTCGCTGGATGTGAGATAAGAAAGAGGCCTCGAGGATATCTTCGAATGCTTTAGATGAGAGTATCTCTTGTAGTTCTTCAAGGCTGAAGCTGACTTGACATCTTCCCATGTCTCCGTGGCAGTTTATTGAAAAATTCTTTCCGTTGGAACTTGCGGCGCTACAGGAAAGTTCGAAACACTCGATGCAGTATACATGATTGCATTTGGTGAGGATTGGATTATCTGCTATTCCCCAGCATACAACGCAATCCTCTTTGGCGGTGACAGATTCAGATAGTAGTTTGGATTCTTTCTTGCCAATCATTTTCAGTGCTGTTTCATATTCCTTATCGGTGCCTGCGATCAAGATCCTCCTTGGCCTCGAGACAATATCGAATGTGGCAATGTTATCTCCGAGTGTAGTGGCAATCATTCTGAAGCCACCATTACATGCCCATCGGAAGTCTTCAGGTTTCAATTCAATTATATGAGCAGTGTATGATTCCTTACCGATAATTGTCGTGATGATCGATTCCACTTCCTTACAATTTTCTTCGGGGCCATAGAGCTTTATTTCTTGTTTTCTCTTGTTCCGAAGGATAATAACTCCGTGATCTCGCTGAATCTTTTTGAATTTCTGGAAAATAGTTCCATTGCCGATCAAAGAAGAGGTCCACAGAGGCTTCTCGCCATTCATCACTGTGACCCCGTCTAATATCCCATTCAACGATTCTTTCGCGGAAGCTACATCTTTTGACGACTCGCCTTCAATCTTTAGAACTCTGTATTGCTGTTTAAGACCAGCGCTGGGATAGATTTTAAATTTCAGATGCTGCTCGTTCCAAATTTGGCTGACAGTGCGGATTCGACTTTGAACGGCATTGAAGATCGAGCTTGCAACTTTGAACTTCGCGGTACTGATAAGTTGGACAGTCAAGGTCATGGTTTTACAAAATGGTAGAGGCATATCTTGCAACGAAATAACTGCTGCTCTTGCATCGGACTCCTCGTAATATCTAGCAACAGCTTTTGCTGTTTTTGCCCGCGGGGTCAGTAATTGTCTGTTTAAGAGATAGGAGGTTTAAGGAAATAAGAGGCAGGATGTTCAATTGTCTGGACTGCAGTCCAACAATAAAGATTATGAAGTCCCCAAGCCAATTGAAATATTCAAATCATTTGAGATATTGACCCATTGTTAAGTTTCTGACTGCTTTTGGATATTCAAAACCTTGTATTGTTGGACTGCAGTCCAGACTATTGGTTACTCTGATAAGAGGCTTGAAGAATTCCTGAATATTTGAAACCTATGAAAGATATACAGGGATTGAAACTAACCTCTTTTGCCTTCCAGTTCTGTACTGATTTGGCTCCATTCAATGGGACCAACCCCAAGTAATAAGGACATCACAATTGCACTGGCTTCTTCTCCTTCCACGTCATAATTAACCTCTCCAATCTCTATCTTTCGCGGCACGTGATGTGGCAAGGTGATAGAAGGGGGGATGTCTTTCTGCGTGGTCTTGGCAGGCAGATTTGGTAGCATAACCGTCCAAGTAAGTGGACCGAGTAGCGACGTAACCCGCCCAGTCGGTGGTTGACATTTGACTGGTTGACCCAGCACCTTATAAGACTTGGAATTGATCCTCGCGAAAACTTTCTCGGCAACATTCTCACTTCCAAAATGCAGCCATACCGACCTAGAGGGTTTAAACCAAGAGCATTGAATCTTTTTGCATTCGATTTGGTGAGATTTGGTGCCGGATTGAAGACCGGCAGATACATGAAAGGCTTTCATGTTTGGATATTTGGTTTTTAAAAAGGTCTTCTCGTTGAGTTTTGAGCAGAATCCCTTTGCAAAAGTAGGATCATCCACTTTGATATCTGCCGATGCCGTGTCATCATACCTTCGTATCCTCACACATTCGGGCATAAGTTGTACTCCTTTCTTTTTCAAAAGTGCAACGAAGGATTCTGCAGTGACATCTAATGGCAATCCATCGATTCGAGCGGCGGAAAAGTCCGTTGGTAGCGAGATCTTAGACACTTGTGCGCCAACGTCAAATTTGGCCAATGCGCCTCCGAAATCTCTTGTGAAGTTGTCATAATTCTGGTTGCCCTACCATACGTTAACTAATACGGACGTAGACTGACATTTGCATCAATAAAACAAACCTCAGGGTCTAAGTCAGGCTCTGCTGCCTTTTCATTTTGTTTCTCTGCAGTGTGCGAGAAGGGGCAAGTACTTCCGTTTCGACAATTTCCTCTAGAATAATGGTAGCATGGGATCTGAGAGCGAGAATGTTGTGTTGAATGTGAAGTTGGAGCTTCAGATGGGCTTTTTTCGCAGAGACAGCAACTTGAGGTGTAAAAGTAGTCTTTTCGTGAGAAAAACGACAATTCTCTCCTCTCATACAATATCCACTTGCAAAGAACTTGCACGGCGCGAGGGAAGTCATCTTTCAATCAGTATGTTGTCGATTTTTTTTTTTTTTAACATTGTTTTATTAGTATAGAAACAATTACCCCTCATTTCCAACGTGATCACCCCATATATACATACGAGTAGACCTAGGCGCCCGACGGATATAATTTGGTGACGGCTGCTGTGGCTAATCCTTGCAGATTGGGCGTTGTAATCGAATGTAACATGGGTACATTCTGACCATTTAGAATGAGCCTGTTGATGTCCTATGAAGTGTCAATTGTTTCGACCTCCCGATTGGCTAGGGAGTATGTATGAGGCGCAGTATGTGGTCGTACGGACAAGAAGTTTGATACTGCAGCGAGATTCTTCCATGATCACTAACTTGTTGTCATCAAAAAAGTATCAAGTAGCTAAAAGAAGAAAGGCAAAAAAATCTAGGGAGTAAAAATGTCGAAGAGGATTCCGTTCGATTGGGAATCCATCACCATGTAGCCGACATAAGGTTGTATGAGTGACTAATAATAAATGGGAGCAAGAGTAAAAAAAGAAAAGTGAACACAACTGACAGTTTTGCGAATAGAATGAAATGAAGTAGGACAACTTGCGAGATTTTAGGATATTTGAGAATATTTTGCTAGAGAGTCAAATCCTTGATGGTAGGTATTTAGTCGAGATGCCATAATCCTTGAACGACAATAAAACTGCCATCATCATCGACTATTATTCCTACTTGGAATTCTTCAACAATACAAAACGTTACAAGCCAATATTTCAAGTAAAATCCACTACAATCCTGATCAATCTATTACCTTGGAGATATGATGCAGCAGTAAAGCCCCACTATTTTTAGACAGGGATAACCCATTTGCGAGAAAATTTGCGAGTGGTGGAACATGAGAGATCACGCTGACCACGCGTGCATACTATTGAACTAAACAAGAATCCAACAGTTGTTCGTTTCAATACTCATCGCAGCACTTGTTTCTAAACTAACTGTGTTCAGTTCTATACGCCCTCGCTTCAGACGGTCAAAGCGGGGATAGTAGGGGGCAGGGGTAGCGGCAATGACAGGAATAGGTAATGATCAATAGCATTCTCATGCTGGACGCTAATATTATTCAATTCATAATACTCTTAGGCAGCAAATGCCTGGTCCTGGGTCTGGTTCACTGTCTACCTAGTATGAGCCAAAAGATGGTCTATTAGAAGTTTCAAAGTTATAATAGCGAATATTATAATCTTAGTAATGAATCCTACTCCGCAGATTTAGTATATAGAGAATCCAGTAATTTTTTGTTTATTTTTCGTACGATTAAGAGGACGGAGTACTCTTTGCGATCAAAATTTTAATCTTATAACGCTCTATTGTAAAAGAGTAGAAGGTGGTAGGGTCGTAAAGTAGTCCTTCGTAAATACCACAGATAAGTCACTGAGACGTAGCGCCTCCGGCGGAGGAGAGGAGGAGAAGGCTCTACATAGCGCGTCACAAAATGTACGAGAAGTGTTACAACGGATAGTAACAGGCTGTAGAATCACCAACTTATAGGCTATAATGGTATTATAGGCCTCAGTGATTTAGCTGCAATATACTGGGGGATACTAAACACTTAAGGAAAGTCTTAGGTATGTATATAGTATTAGTTATAGGATACCCTAAAACCTTAGAATATAGTTTTTAGGATAGTAGGTTCTAGGAAAGACAGAATACAGTAAGCAAAAAGGCTTTACTAGGATTAGTAATATCTCAGGAGATTAGCCTCAAAACAAAAGAATAAGCTAGGATATTAAGAGTTATGGGATTAATATTTTGTGATGGATAGCTCAGGAACGATAGTACTCTAAAAGCAATCGGCTATCCTAGTTGTCCAAGTAAGACAAAGATTTATATAAAGGAATGGGTTTTTATTATAATATAAAGCTTTATACTCAAGAATAATTATTAGTTTTATTATTATAATTATAAGAATTACAATTAATTATAATCTTATTGAATTTCTATTTAAAGTTTAGTCTAAACCATCTCGAAAAATCTCTAATCATTTTCATGTAATCTTAGAGGCAGTTTTTGTAATACTTTGAGTATTTTTTTTGTTTCAAGTATCAATTTGATAAATCAATCACTAAATATAGTATTCAGAAACTTTATTATTGGATAATCTACCGGGGACACTAATAATATCGAGATAATCAATATTTCAAAAGAGATTATTATCAGCAAAACTCTCAAAATAGCCTTACTAGACAAGTATCAAGATAGTCGATAGAAATTCAATACCTTTCTTTTGCAATTTGAAATTTATTTTAGATTCAATAAAAATAAGTTCATTACTAAGGAATCCAAGAGTGTATAAACTATATCATATTTCTAAGGAGAAGCAATTAAATGAATATAACTATATTTATATGATTATTTCGAGTATAATAATACGAATCATATACAATCTATCTAAACAATCTTTAATAGTTTTGAAGGTTTTAAGATAGAGATTTATAGAATCTTTGGAAATTCTAATAAGCTAGAGGTAGTGGAAGATAAGATCTTTAATTTTAAGCAAACAGAATCAGTATTAAAGTATACTACAGAATTCCGAAGATATATAGAAACAACTAAATAGAACAAGGTCGTTATTATAAGTTATTATTGTAAAGGACTCAAATCACAAGTATATTTGGAATTTGATAGAGAAGGGGAGGACAATGATTTAAATAAACTAATCAAAAACTCTATCGATACTAATAATCACCTATACAGATATAAATAAATCTAATAATTATATAAGCTTTAAACAAATTATAGGTAAAAGTATTATTGTAAGAATAAGAGTAGATTATATCATAATACACAGAGTTACAAGAATTCTATAAAACTAGATGCTATATACTACAAGAAAGGGAATAATAATTCAGAAAAAAAAACGAAGATAAGAGAATAATTTATACTTTGAATATAGAAAAGCAGAATACTGAGTAGCAGATTATCGAAACAAAAAAACAAAAGGCAAGCAGGAAAATTTCAAATCTAAATTCGATAAGGATTAATTCAATACTACCTTTATAATCTAAAAAGATATAATTACACTTGATAACCTCAATACCTTTACCTTTGAAAAGTTCTAGTAATTATATTAAAAGTTATTATAAAATAAAAAGGAAGAAAATTTAGTAGATCTATAGAAACAAGAATATTTATAAACTTCGATATCCTTTGTAACCAAAGAAATCTATTAAGGAAAGTAGATAAATTTTTTTAAAAAGAAATAGAAACCAATCATGCTATATTATATTGAATTGCATATTACAATGAATTCTGTAGAATCCATTAATTAGATAAGAAGTAACTGGATAGTTCTCTAAGAAAAGAAAGATAAGAAATCAACAATCTAATAAAACAAACAAAAAACAAGTTATTTAGTAATTAAATGCTATAGGATAAGTAGGATAGATATACTGCAAGGTCAAAATAAACGGACAAATATAGCAAGTCATGATAGATTCAGGGGTTATAGAAAACTATATTGTATTAAAAATTACAAAATACTTAAGAATTCTATTCTAAAAGAAACAACGATTTTACTAATTGTAGCTAGTTAATAGCTAATTGGCAGGATCTGATGGGAATGTTTTATAGGAGACACGATTAGTACAAATGAATATAATCTAATACTCAGAGGTTATACAGTTTAACATTATGTTATTAGATTAATAACAAATCATCTTAGGTGTCACGGGATCACCTCTGGGAGTATTCAGAAGCTTTACCGCTGAGCTAAACGCCCAAAAGACTAGGAGGTAGAACTGGAAGTTTTACCTTACTCTCATATATATAGTAGGACAGGATAGGACAGAAAGGGCTTAGTGTCATTCCGTGACACTATTTCCTTCCTTAAGGTATGGTCTCTATATTATCATCTACTAGGAGGTTTCAGGATTCTGGATTCTAATGCCTTAGGTATTCAGACAGGCAGACAGGATCTATATATGCTAGCCCCCAAACCAATGAAGGCTTGTAAGCTATAAGTGGGCCCCCCATACAGCTCTACTTATAACCAAGGGTAGTTCTATCTAATGTTACGGGATCACTTCTGGGAGTATTTAGAAGCTTTACTGCTGAACTAAACGCTTAAAAGACTAGGAGGTAGAATTGGAAGTTCTACTTTACTCTTACATATATAACAGGATAGGACAGGACAGAAAGGGCTTAGTGTCACCCCGTGACATTAGGGATGTTATGGTTAAAGGTATATAATCCTAGGATAAACTAATTACAGGAGATAGTAATATTCGATTAGTACAAGAACAATTACAAAAACATATTTAAGATATCCGCAAAACAAAATATATACCAAGAGGAGTTGAATATAAATAATCCCGGTAATATAGGATATCTAGTTTAAGATTCTTTATTAAAAATAAAGGCTAATATATTTTCTTTATAAATATAAAAACCAATAATATAGTAGAAAATTACAATTAAGATAGAAAAGTTTATAATATTAGAATAGTATAAGAAATATGAATATATGTTTAAGGAATTAGGGATTTATAAAACTTTATCAAAATACAAGCTATGGGATTATAAGATAATATTAAAGAAAGGTAAAATGCCTATATACACCCCAATTTATTCAATATCAATTGATAAGCTGAAGATGCTTAGGGAATATATTAATAATAATTTGGCTAAAGAATGAATTAGGGAATCTATATTCTAAATAATAAGTCCAATTATATAAATACTCAAGAAGGATAGTATTAAGAGATTAGTTATGGATTATAAAAAGCTCAATATGCTTATTAAAAAGAATTGATATTTATTTTTATTAATTATAAAATCAAGAGATTAATTAAACAAAGCTATTATATTCATTAAGATAGATCTGTACAACAGATATCATTTGATTAGAATAAAGAAAGATAAAAAATAGAAAACCATTTTCAAAACAAGATATAGGCTATACAAATATCAAGTTATACTGTTCGGACTAATTAATATATTAACTATTTTATAAAATTCATAAACAATATATAGAT